CCCCAAAACCCCAAAACCCCAAAACCCCGGCTTACTCATTTCTTGAAAATTTTAAGATTTGGAATGATTTATTTAATTTATTATGCTGCAGAGAGTCTGAGAGGATAGAATTGATTATAATATATATTATTTTGTAATGAGAGTATATCGATTTGAGTTAACTCCACATTTTCTTAAGGGCATAAGCAATGTTTTCGCAGGATTCTTCATTATGCTTGTAAGATAAGCCATTTAAGTAATTATATATAACTTAGTATTTTGGGTCGCTCTATATTCCAGGCAACATCAATCCATATATTATATCATACTACAGATAGTTTGATAGCTCTATCGATGAAAGCACTGCATTTATGATTTTGCCTTGCGAGATTTTAACAATGACTGTATTGTTTCCTTTTGGAAGTTGGCTAGCAAAGAGAATTGATGGAAGAATGTAACAAACAAATAAATATAATATTCATCTCATAGTTAGCTTTCAATCGGTTGTGTGATAGGTTTGTCTACAGCTCTAGCTTCTTCTTACTGTACAAACTTTTGGGCCTTCTTCGTATTGTATGCAGGAGGTTTTGGTGTTTGTAATGGTTTCGCAGTAAATCTTAGACAATTATTTACGAAATTTATTTCTATAGTATGTCGTTCCAGTGTACAGTGGGTGGCGTTACTTTAAAGATAACAAAGGTTTAGTAACAGGAATCGTTCTCTGTGGGTTTGGTTTCGGAGCTTTCTTCTTTAATTTGATATCAACTGCTGTTGTGAATCCAAAAGGATTAGATTCTAAAGATGGATTGTTTCCAGCTGAAGTAGCAAATAATGTTCCTAAAATGATAAGAGTGCTCACAATATGCTGGGCTTGTATCTCTGCTATATCTATTCTTTTATTCTTCCCTTACTAAGAACCTCCAAAATAACAATAAGCAATATCTAGAGGGGTAACAATGGACGATGAGAAACTTGAAAATCTAAAGTAAGATCCAAATTAATAAGATATAATTGCAAGGGAGCCTTTAATTGCTAATGAAAAAGAATCTAATGGGTAGATTTTAAAGAATTTAAATTATTCCTAAAGTGTTTCCTCATTTTAGTAGACGAAAATAGCTTAATCAGAGAAAGAGATTCCCGAAAGTAAAGTAACTCTTGGCCAATGTCTTCGTTCAAAGTAGTTTATACTACTCTATGCAATGACTTGCCTCTCTATCTGTAAGTGAAATTTTTTAAGTTTAAAGACTGTCATTATAGTTATGGGGTATTTTGTTATCAATACTTTTAAATCATTTGGGCAAAAGCATATTAATGATGACAAGTTCTTGACAATAGTGGGTTCTGTGTCTTCGGTATTTGGAGGACTTAGATTTATATGGTCATACTTTGTAGACTTTACTAATACATTTAGAAAGCCCTATTTTATACTCTTATGTGTTTAACTTATCTTTGGCTCTACTCTTGTCCTAGTGAGTAATATTGAATCGCTATTTTTTATTTGGGTTTGCATCATAGTTTGGTGCGAAGGTGGCCACTTCTCTTTAGTCCCAACTGCTGTGGCTAGAATGTTTGGTGAGCACGCACCGATCGTTTATGGCTTCGCATTTTCTTTTGGAAGTATACCGCAAATTATAAGTAGTATCATGGTTAAATTCTATTTGAAAGATATTGGGTATGATGCTTTTTACTATGCAAGTGCTGCAGCTACTTTAATATCTTTGATCATATTAATCTTTTTCTTTGAGGAAAAAAAGGTGTGCTGAGTATCAAAATATTCTTTTAAACGAATTAAATTCTAATGTATTGCCTGATTTTATAAGGTATAAATATCTTAATCCTTGACTTATTGCATCATCTGACTTAACGGGGTTTTGGGGTTTTGGGGTTTTGGGG